AACTAATGATTTGATTTTTGCCCATGGCTCTTGAAGTCTCGGTTTTCTGCAAAACCAGTTTTTGAGAAATTCTAAAAAATAATCAAAACCTTTCATAATGAGGCATAATTATAGCCCGCACATTTCTAATTAAAATGAGACGTCTCCCAGCTCTACACGACTTTTCTTTGCAAAGTTATAGAATTTACAAGAAAAGTCCTAAATTAATTTCTTCTTATTTCTACAGCTTTGAGCTGACAATAGCTTTTCTTGTAAATTCTGTAACTTTGTAAAGAAAGGTCGTGTAGAGCTGCGGAACGTCTCATTTTAATCAGAAATGTGCGGGCTATAATTATGCCTCATTATGAAATGTTTTGATTATTTTTTAGAATTTCTCAAAAACTGATTTTGCAGAAAACCGAGACTTCAAGAGTCATGGGCAAAAATCCTTTTAGGCTTTTTACCAGCTCGATGTGCTCTATAAAACGAGGTATAAATGAAGGAAATTGGAGCTGGCACCGGGGGCGGTTCCCTCGTGAGACACGGTTCCTCTAGACAATCCTCTGTCACAACGAAAAGAACGATAATGTCGGATTTTTTCTGCTGATGTCTGGGTACATCTGCTCTATCCGCTTTTTACCAGGAATATTTGGCTGGAATGCACGATTCATCTAATCTTCAGCCAAAAAGCTATCATATTCAGTTTCGTGACTTTTCTGTAAAACCTAATAGAAAGAAATGTAAGATTTTAAGGTAAAGCTGGATTTTCTTAATGGAAAAAAATAATATCTTTTAAAAATTCTTTTTTTTAAAAATAATATCTTTTTCCAGCTGGTTGGTGTCCACTGTTCTTATATATTTTTGTAGACTAGAATCTGCTCTTTCTAATCGAAAAAGAAGTAAGTGTGTACGATGCTTCTGAACTAAGACATGAAGCAAACAAAAAAGGGAAAAAACTTTTGCATCACGTTATTCAACAAGTTTTGGAGGAAAGGAAAACACAAAGGTTCCCATGGATAACAAATAGTGATAGGGAACTGCTAGGTGTCACGAGACAGAATTATTATTCTCATTATCCGCTTTTCTCTTCTGCATTTTATGTAGAGTTCCTATTTGAGAAATGCAATGAGCTTAGTCTTCAGTACACATCGGAAACTATGCTAAAACTTATTGTTCATATTCATCCATTTTTCGATCTGTTGTTTCGATAAAAATTTATTTCAAAAAGTATGTACACCTCTATTTCATTTAATCAGAAAAGACACAATGATTTTTGAGAAAATATTTCAGAATGTTGTGAATTGTGATCACTCGATTGTGAATTAATTCCCATAATTGTTGCTTGTACAGCTTGTAATCGTCCATCGATTTTATATATTTTTTTTGAATATTTTTTACCATGTTTTGTTGTTAGAATTTGTTTCAATGTGTTATTAAGTAATTCCAAGCCAATATACGTAATATTACGATAGAATACGGATCGAAAATGAACAATTTCGTTCACAACATCTAACATTTCATTGATAAAGTCATTTGTTTCATAATCTTGTGAATAATCATCATTCGCTGGTGAATCGTCTTGATTACATCCCATTTTCACACGTTCACATAAATGTTTAAGAGTAAGAACAACACATGAATTACATAACCCTATGAAAAATCAGAAAAAAGTAAGTCTTAGATGTCGAAAATTCGAAATTTCTTTCACAAAGACTTTAGATCAAGTCTAATATTAATTTCAGCGTAACAAATTCAAGGTATAATTGCATATTTTACTGTCAATTATAAAAGTTTCCATCAATTTTTTCGCCAGAAGAACAATTTTTGAGAAGAAAGAAATGTTTCGAAATCTCATTATGAGAGAAAAAATTGTCTTTATTTTGAAAAGGATGACAGTTGTGCTTGTTTGTTATTTTTAATTTTTAATTATGTTTTGAAAACTTTCTCAAAGCTTTTATACTCATCTTGTGTAAAACTAAGATCTCTACAAACTGCACATATTCAGAGTTGTGTATAGTTTGAAATTTTCTGTATTTCTATTTTTTTCTCTATCGAATGTCATGTTTCTTAAAATTTAAAATAATAGATTTTATACAGTTTTTATGCTATTTTGAATGAGATGTTGTCGGATCAGAACTGGTATACAAAGAGTGACGTGCGCGTACAACGGGTGTCATACAAATATCATCAATTTTTTCAAAAAATATCAACTCAGCTATCTCTGACATTTAACACCTCAGTAAAGAATGACTTTTACATGCCTAGTTTTGTATCCTCTTTTGAATGGGAATAGTTTTAGAAAAATCTAAAATTTTTCATATGATGGTGTTTTTTTTTGCTGTGCTCACAAATCTTCTCTTAACATACCTAGAGTGATTAGCATCTGTTTAATGCAATAGACATCTAATGCCAAATTGATAAATTGTGATAGAATATTTAAAAGTTTTTGTGCAAATTGTTCAATGGCTAGAAAAATTTTATCGCGAATAAAGTAAAATTTATCAAATTCAATTACTTCTGTCACCACTCTTATGGCGTAGAGATAACAATCAACTGGTAAACTTTGACTGTTATAATCATGTTTTTCTAACCAATTTATCATTATATTCAAAACGAAATTGATTGAATCATCAATTGTATTCGATGTATCATCTGTCGTGGTTGATTTTAAAAATAATATTTTTTGAATAAAATCCCCATATTCATATTCATTATGATGTTTTCGTATAATATCATCTTGTTGTTGTTGTTGTTGTTCGAGCTCCATGGATGATAAACTAGTAGATAATAAGTGTTTGCCATTGAAATAACCGTACGATTCTTTTAACAAATACTGTTTCAATAATAACTGTTGTTCATTTAGATTGTCAAATTCTTCGTTTAAGCTAACTTTCTTCGAATTAGTCAATTGTTCTGCTAATGCACGAGTAAAATCACATGGTTTAATACCATTTGGAGTGTTGCGAATCAAAACAACAGCCAAAGCAATTTTCTTAAATAAATACATGTTCAAAGCTTGTGGATCCATAACCCGGAAATAATTTTGATCACCTTTTTTTGCAACAATCACAACTACAATCAGTAAAGTTCACTGCGTACTGAGAAAAAACACAAATAATTCGTGAAAAAAACTTTAAGTCATTTTTGGAGGAAAAACAAATCAACCAATAGAGCGACGGCGATAATTAGATACGTAAATCCCTTATGCATTACAGGCAAGGCATTGATCGAAAAAAGTGCAATTATATTATCTGACCCGTTACGCTGAAATTGATATTAGACTTGATCGAAAGTCTTCGTGGAAGAAATTTGAAGTTTTGGGCTTGGATGATTGAAAACGTCACTTTTTCAACAAATGCACGCTGGTTAACTTTTAAAAGTGACAGTTGTATATTTCAATAAATATTTTGTTGAAGAAAAAACAGAAAACCTAAAAAGCAGAATGGAGTACTCCCGTCCATTTCTGCCCAAATTTTATCGTCACATTACGTATATTGGCTTGTAAAATATAAGAGAAGATCGTATTACATAATTCTTGTTGTGAATAACGTTCTCATCATACTCCTCATTCATTAACATGATTTAGTAGATAATATTGAATGTGATGAAAGTATCGTTTTCCGGCTGTGTCCAAATTTTTCGTACACGATATAAAGTACTTTAGGTTAAATAGCAAAAATTGCTTGAACATTGAGATTTTATAAGATCTTTTTGATTATCAATCGGCAAACTTGAATATTGCATTTTTTAAATACCACAGCTTTTGAGCATATTTGACAAAATAAAGTATTGTATCTTTTGTTAATTTGGAATTTCAATCATCGATATTCTTACAAGTATTAAAATGGTTATAATGTTATTAAAACTATAACCTCCAAACCGTTATTCATCTTATACCATTGAATGTTTAAGTAATTCTTGATGACAATATTGTTCTACAACATCAGTTAATCAAATATAGTATGTCTCACCATCATCAAATAACTGATTAGAAACAAATGAACTTTTCGAATTCATTTGACGAACAAGCGACAGTGCCGTTATTAATCATCATTTTTTAAACATTTATTCTGAAAAGTCGTCGATATAAGACTCTACAAAAAATTTATCTTTGAATTAAAGATAAACTAACTCAATTTCCTTTCGAACAAGCACAGTTTCCAACGTCTGTTTGGGCAAAATTGATGAAAAAACCAACTGATAACGACCGCACTGCGAACTGCTCTATCGTCAGCACGTCTAAGTATGTCTCTACGCTTTCCTCTAATAACTGTACTACAGGGTCAACCTTTTTAATACTTTTTAAACAAATAAGTATTTTTTTTATTTTGAACCAAAAAGATAAGTCCTACACAATAAATTTCTCTATGCTATTTTAGTCTGTTTTGATTCTTGATCCTTATTTTTTAAATCATCAATAATCACTTTGCATATTGCTTTATGTAATATATGACATTGTTTAATACATTCATCAACATATTTATCTAATTCATTCGTTGTTAGCTCACCATCGAAAAATAAACTCGATACTTGTGCAAGATTGGGCATATAACAAACAGTCAATAGATTTGAATCAATTTTTAAGGATTTTGCCACCACTGTATCATACAATTCAATACAAGCATCAATCAATGCCACAGTTGTACTTAAAACAATTGCCGATAACAGATTAGCTTCATTATCTTCTTGAATTATATCAATAATAATATCAATTTGTGATTTTGGATATTTATGTAGTAATATACATGGTAATAAACATTCTTCTAACATTGAACATAATTCTGCTTCTTCTGTATCGTCCATCTCATTTGAATTTTCATATGTTATTCGTAGTGGATCAATACGTTTTGGACGAGAAAAGGGGCTAAATTTAATCGATGTGTCCAATAAACATTTTGAATACGATTCATCTGTTGTTGTTTCATGTGGACCATAAATAGAACAAGTAATTTTTGTTAAACCCAATTCAACGTATGATGATCCATTGGCTTTCGTAATTAATCCTTTTGATATAAATACACGATCATCATTTTTAAGTGAATTCACATCTCTGACACCATTATCACTGCTTTTATCCGTCATTTCTAAATCGACAGCAAACTGTAAAGGATCAAATAATTCTTCGGGTCCATCGACCCAACCACAATTAGTATTACTCAACATCTACAAACAATAAAACAACATTTTGGTAGCCACAAGATAAAATTAATTTCAAAATTTTATTTGACAATGCAGAACTGAAAACTCATACAAAAAAACTTGAATTTCGCAACAGAATCGTTTATATCATGTTGCCAATATATAAAATCGCATCAACAATGTCTGGATATTTTTTTAATGCACGAATAGCTGTATTTCGATCTGTTTTCAGTTGTCGAACAAGACAATCAATATCTGTCTTGTTCACATCCGTTTCATCTTCATCGATTTCGCCTATTAACATACATGTCATATTAGGTGTCACATTAAACTCGTGACAATTTTCTTTCGTATAACATTTTCCTTTACAAATAAGTTTCATTTTATCAGACGAAACGTGAATATGTGACGATATTGCTTCCCATTGTTTTAGTTTTGTTGCAAATTCTTGACAATCAATATTTAAATGATACGTCTTGCTAGCATGTTTTATTATTAGTTTCAAATTATTTGAGTTTCCAGTAGTAGTGTCGTCGTCAGAAAAACAGGAGTTCATCTCTAATAAATCTTAAATGAAATGAAAGAAGTACTTAGATTTAAGCCTGTCATTCTTAAAACAATATAATAATTTTGAGTTTATCAAGAAATGAAGGACTCCATTTTATAGATATGCAATCCGAGTCGATCCGAAGCTTGGGTACGGATACGAACTTATCAGATATGGGAAAAAGAAAAATGTTGGATCTGATTACTACGTTGTGACGTGCAACACAGTTCCCTCGGTTAGTGTTCGTGGCTTGTCGGGAAGGTAGTACGTGACTAGTGAGTGTGTATAGAAAGCTCAATCAATTGGGCGAAAGTACTCTGCGTCAGGTTAGCCTTCTGATTAGAGTTGCAGATGATGACTATTAATGATACGGATGACCATGTCAGAAGCTTGTTAGCTATAGAGAAGGTATTACACGCCCAGGCCCGCAAGTAGGAGCAGAATATTAGGGGGGTGTAAAATAAAATTTCACTTTGAGGTAGTGTGCAATTGATAAAAAAAATTTTGTGCGAGGAATAATGGATAAAATAACAACAGCTTTTTCAATTATTTAGGGAGTGCGCATCCTCCCACACGCTCCCATTATTTGCGATCCTGATCATACTATTGAAACCAACACTTATCAGCGATAACGGTAGTCACAAAAGCGGAGTGTTCTTCCTTCTGAAAATTGTATCCGTGAATATCTCTACTTCATTTATCGTCCTAAAGCGAAACGCTGAGACACTATTTAATTATAGGGTCAAACATCGGGTAAACATTTTCCGTTTATGATACCACTTCTTTTACTTTGCTCAATAAAAGGCAGATACTGAGAAGACTTGAACAGAAGGTATATTGAACGTACTACAACCGCTTAATATTATCTCCATAATGTACTAAACGAAAAGTTTGAAATTTTACTGTGTTTTTTTAATCGATAAATTAAATATTAAAAACAGCACTGTTAAAGTAACATAAAAGGTTTCTAAAATTAGTATGTACACTGTATTTACATAAAAACAACAATAGCTACCAATTTTTTATCAACGAATTTTCTAAACAAATAACTGACATAATGAGTGGTAAAAGACTTTGTACGTATTCATATTCTGTATTGGTAAAATCTGTAATATTGTTTTTCCGAATACTGCTTAAAATTATTCTCAATTCCACTATGCCAACTTTATCTTCTAAATACAACCGTAGTTTTTGACAAATATCATTTGTACTGGCATTGACTCTAAAGTAACAAGCAAAACAGATAATCACATTTTTGTTTAAAACAAACTTGAAAATGTAAACATACCTTATCGATGAATATAAACAATTTAACCCGTCTAAATAATCATCTATTGTTAACACAGGTAAATTCATGTAGTTTTTCGTTGTTGTTTTCGTATTATTATGTGACAAACTATTGTTCGTATGAACGTGAGTAATGATATCTTGCGTGGTTCTCGCCGTTGTTGATGTTAAAGACAAATCATTCATGTTACTGCTGGTATTATGACTTTTGTTAATCGATGGCATCAAAATCAAAAACACAAAATAAAATAAAATTTCAATTTCATTTTATTTAGCTTAAATCAAATCAGGGAAACAGGAAAAGCTCCCGGCTTGTAAATACTATTAAAGATGTTTAAAAGATACAATTTGGTCGCATCAAGATTATTCTAATAGTGCATTATATTTTCAGGATAAGCCTAGCTTAATCAGAGCGTCGTTTCAGCAAGTTGTTTCTAACGTTAACCAGCTAAAGTTAAGCGCTGATTTAAAAAAAGTATAGAAGTGTAGTTGAATTAGTGTTGACAAATGACAATACTATAGTAAAAATGTTGACCAAGATTTATACTTGAACTGATGAACTTAAGAATATTGATGAAACAACATTCAACTATTGAAGGAACTAAAATTACGTTCATGTAGTAGTAGTACTCTCTATGCCGTCTTATGTAATCATTGTCGAGGAGGCGCAGTGATCTTTTTAGTACTTGTATATTACCAGAAAGAAAAATTGATCATATATGACGAACAATAAAGTAATAACAACCTCAAAAACGTACATCTTATATCGTACTGTAATTTAAACTCAACAAACTATAAAACAAAGACAAACTGACCGAAAGAGTAAAGAAATAATAAGTAAGGTACCAAAACCGTCAGTATAAAAACAATCAGAATAAAGACGCAATAACCGAAGGTAAAAGTTCAATACATTGCACTAATTTTGCTAGAACAATAACACACTTTGAATACCGAAGAAAGCTAAATTATTTTATGTTCCGACTTGCCCAACCATGCGTCGAATAAACATACACCTAATCTATAGTAAAATTAAGCTGCAGAAAAAGACATAATCCAGTACTTGTCAAATATGTCAGATTAATTCGAAATCTCTTTTCTTATCTTATCCAGCTCTCATCACTTTCTGGTGAAACATACGTCTCGCTTTTTTTGAGGTATTAAAGCAACTTTGAGAGGCCATGATGCTATCACCATTTTTTTATAACTATATAAAATCGCCATTGAAACTTATTTTGTGCCTCTCCTCTTCTTTTAGAGGTTCTCGAAAGAAGGGACGAGGGCGAAGCGAAAGGAGTTCTGTTCAAATTAGTTCCAATTAATATTAATTAATAACAATCATTCTGTCAAAAATATTTACATTTAACATCTGCATTATACGTGTTTTAATCAAAACCCGTCCTAGACATAAATCCGAAACTAGATTCAAAAGTTAGGCGAAACTTTATGTAAAAGATTCGTTTATTGTAGAGTTCTGCGCTTTAACTTTCGCCTCTAACTTATCTCGATCTAGAAAAAGTTCAATTGATAATATATCAGAAAGGAAATAACAGTCAAGGTCGACATGTTAGAATTATTTCTAATGACTCGAGTACAACTGAATACTAGCAACGTTGTATCGAAGTTTGAGATGAACTCCTATATTTTTCTGGGACGCAAATCTTCATATTTTAGAGTGAAACAAAATTAGTGCTAGATTATCTTTGACGTTTTGACGTTAGAATCTAAAGACAGGACAAAATTTTTAACGAATTAAAAGTTGAGGCAGTCCTTTCACACGATGCTTCTTCTGTTCCAGATTTGGTAACAATAAAATATCGTATCTTGGTCAAAGAGGCTCATAGGTAGCAATTAAAAGCGTAACAGAATACTGTAATGGTGAACCGCACATATCTACATGCATGTGCGTAAGTAAACATATCAAACCTTGTATATGTACAGAAAAGGATAACCCATATGTATGTGTTTGACAAGCGATCAAATATAATTTAAAGGATACCTTATATATCCTTCTCACACAAGGACGATAAAAATTCTCTCTACACTTTAGAAAGAAAGAAATAAAAATTACTATATTGTACTGAAACATCATTTCTGATTTCAGATATAAATGGTATTAAATCTGCTGTTATAGTTGTGGACAAATATCAGTTCATGTCGAAAGTGAGTATTCTGTAGTTCAAAATAATAAACGCGTCGATATGCGTCATTCTGATATTATCTTTCTTTTCCATCTCTAGAAGTTACTGCTATAGAAAGAAAACTTAGATTTCATACTAGGTGCTTAGTTTTTCCTTTGATAATAGTCAGTGAGACAAAAAACGGGGAATAATTGAATTTGACAATGTTCCCATATTTGATGCTTAAAAAATTGATTTTTTATGAACTGTTTGCTCGTTTTTACGAGTAATATCAAAAATAAGAATTGAATCTGTCCATCCATGTAAAACTTTTATATGTCTTAAACGCATTTAGCACGAGACGCGTTTCGATACGTCCACATGTTTTATTCTGGACGCGTGTAAACGCGTTCTTTTCTAAAAATTGAAAAAACGCGTTTAAATGCGTTTTCTCAAACGCTAACGTTCACATGGGTAATAGACTTTGTTTTGAAAAATAATCTTAAAACCTAGAACTGTAGCTCTATTGCCTGTTTGATCAATGTTGTTTTTCTTCTTAGTGAGTTCATTTGTCGTGGAGTATGATTATGTGGCTAAAAATAATGATGAATTGTCCATTAACAAAGGAGATATTATTCACAATGCAACGCATTGCAATGATGACGGATGGATGAAAGGAGAATGTAATGGAAAAACCGGGTAAGCATTGTTATAATAATGAAATCTTTAAACACAATAATCTGTTTTTTCTCATCTGTATTATTTCCAGGTATTTTCCCGAGAATTTTGTTGGCGTAAGAGATTTTCATGTAGGAATGAAGTTTATTTTCTAATATTATTTTTACTTTAGCCTGTTACAAAAGAAAAGGCAAAACATCGAACACTCATTAGTGAACTTAGTTCTAAAGTATTACAGGGATCATCGACAAATAATAACAATAGTAATGGGAATAACAACAGCAAAGATACATTACGAAAACGGCCGAATGAGCGTGCTGCGAATTCAAACAATACACATATGAACGGTAAAAGTCATTAACGAGTGCGTCAAAGTTTACAAGTGTATACTCTCTAAATTTGAACCAATTATCCTAAAATTAGTAAAAGAAATTTTTTATCCAATTAAAGCACTGAAATTGGAAAAAATACTTGCTACTTCAGCTTAAACATTAGCTTAACATCCTTTTAAAAGAGAACCTGAGTCAGTGCATTCGACAAAATGCTTTCTTTTTGTTTGATCTACAATTCTGTAGTTATTTTATCTTCATAGTATAATGTTCTTCTCAATAAGACAGACACTCAGTAATGTGAAAGCTTATAAATGAGATATAAGATCAGCCTTTAAGTTTAGCAGCTTTTTAGAGTGTGACGTGCAGCAAGTAAAATATTTCTGAGAGGAAGATGTTTCTTAAGACTGACATTCTTTTTGTGTCTCTGCCTACACTTGAAACTATGTTTATTTTCCTTCACGGATCACTTTTCTCTTCAAAACGCTTTTGTTTTCTTAATAGATACATAAATACGGTCTGTTCTTTTATTTTGTTTTCTTGTTTTGCTTAGAAAAGTATGTATTGCTAAACTATTTCATGCGCCTTCTTGCTTTGTAAGTTGTTCAGTATTTAATTTTTTTTTTCGCAATTCATCGCTTAATTTGCTATTCACGCAACGTTACAATTATCAGGCTAAAAAGTAGCGGACAAAGCCGCCTAAACTTTTTATCCGACACTTTGCATATAATTTTTTTTTTTTGCTAATGACAATCAAAAAATAAAAGAAAAATGAAGATAATTTATTTTAGTGTTTCTCTTCTAAAAATAAAAAAATCTGTTGTGTTTATTCTAGTTCAAGCACTACAGCAGCCCGTTTTGTTTACGGTTAAAGTGGATTACGCTTATAATCCAGTACATCCAGATGAATTAGCAATTAAACCAAATGATGTTGTGAATGTTATACGTATAGTAAGTTGCTTTTAGTGTAATGTGAACCCTGGATTGAGAAGTGGTGATCGAAATATCAATCATCCCTATGTTTAAGTTATAAACGATTGAGACTGCTTGTTAATTAGAGTTTGATTTTCTAGTTTACACACTCATAAATTGCAATTTTTATGGACATGAAGATGAGGATGTTTATTTCTAAAAGCCTTAAGAAACATATTGTGCTGAGTTTTACTAGTTTTTATGAAGGATTTTTTCTATAAAAATTCAATCCATCGAAATAGAAAGATGCATTCTGATCTGAAATTTCATATTATGCTTGAAATCTAGCCTCACGAGCAGAGTAGATGTTAGAGTGGCTCAATCTGACCGATAGCCACGAATTTTGTCAGGAGCGGTGCACAAATATTCTTTGGCTCAGAGGACATATTTATGTGTTTCAAAACACTGAATACTTCCATCTGATAAGAGCTTAATGCCAGCTCCTCTGTTAAGAGGCCAGCTTAGAGCGTCGTTTCAGCAAGTTGTTTCTAACGTTAACCAGCTAAAGTTAAGCGCTGATTTAAAAAAAGTATAGAAGTGTAGTTGAATTAGTGTTGACAAATGACAATACTATAGTAAAAATGTTGACCAAGATTTATACTTGAACTGATGAACTTAAGAATATTGATGAAACAACATTCAACTATTGAAGGAACTAAAATTACGTTCATGTAGTAGTAGTACTCTCTATGCCGTCTTATGTAATCATTGTCGAGGAGGCGCAGTGATCTTTTTAGTACTTGTATATTACCAGAAAGAAAAATTGATCATATATGACGAACAATAAAGTAATAACAACCTCAAAAACGTACATCTTATATCGTACTGTAATTTAAACTCAACAAACTATAAAACAAAGACAAACTGACCGAAAGAGTAAAGAAATAATAAGTAAGGTACCAAAACCGTCAGTATAAAAACAATCAGAATAAAGACGCAATAACCGAAGGTAAAAGTTCAATACATTGCACTAATTTTGCTAGAACAATAACACACTTTGAATACCGAAGAAAGCTAAATTATTTTATGTTCCGACTTGCCCAACCATGCGTCGAATAAACATACACCTAATCTATAGTAAAATTAAGCTGCAGAAAAAGACATAATCCAGTACTTGTCAAATATGTCAGATTAATTCGAAATCTCTTTTCTTATCTTATCCAGCTCTCATCACTTTCTGGTGAAACATACGTCTCGCTTTTTTTGAGGTATTAAAGCAACTTTGAGAGGCCATGATGCTATCACCATTTTTTTATAACTATATAAAATCGCCATTGAAACTTATTTTGTGCCTCTCCTCTTCTTTTAGAGGTTCTCGAAAGAAGGGACGAGGGCGAAGCGAAAGGAGTTCTGTTCAAATTAGTTCCAATTAATATTAATTAATAACAATCATTCTGTCAAAAATATTTACATTTAACATCTGCATTATACGTGTTTTAATCAAAACCCGTCCTAGACATAAATCCGAAACTAGATTCAAAAGTTAGGCGAAACTTTATGTAAAAGATTCGTTTATTGTAGAGTTCTGCGCTTTAACTTTCGCCTCTAACTTATCTCGATCTAGAAAAAGTTCAATTGATAATATATCAGAAAGGAAATAACAGTCAAGGTCGACATGTTAGAATTATTTCTAATGACTCGAGTACAACTGAATACTAGCAACGTTGTATCGAAGTTTGAGATGAACTCCTATATTTTTCTGGGACGCAAATCTTCATATTTTAGAGTGAAACAAAATTAGTGCTAGATTATCTTTGACGTTTTGACGTTAGAATCTAAAGACAGGACAAAATTTTTAACGAATTAAAAGTTGAGGCAGTCCTTTCACACGATGCTTCTTCTGTTCCAGATTTGGTAACAATAAAATATCGTATCTTGGTCAAAGAGGCTCATAGGTAGCAATTAAAAGCGTAACAGAATACTGTAATGGTGAACCGCACATATCTACATGCATGTGCGTAAGTAAACATATCAAACCTTGTATATGTACAGAAAAGGATAACCCATATGTATGTGTTTGACAAGCGATCAAATATAATTTAAAGGATACCTTATATATCCTTCTCACACAAGGACGATAAAAATTCTCTCTACACTTTAGAAAGAAAGAAATAAAAATTACTATATTGTACTGAAACATCATTTCTGATTTCAGATATAAATGGTATTAAATCTGCTGTTATAGTTGTGGACAAATATCAGTTCATGTCGAAAGTGAGTATTCTGTAGTTCAAAATAATAAACGCGTCGATATGCGTCATTCTGATATTATCTTTCTTTTCCATCTCTAGAAGTTACTGCTATAGAAAGAAAACTTAGATTTCATACTAGGTGCTTAGTTTTTCCTTTGATAATAGTCAGTGAGACAAAAAACGGGGAATAATTGAATTTGACAATGTTCCCATATTTGATGCTTAAAAAATTGATTTTTTATGAACTGTTTGCTCGTTTTTACGAGTAATATCAAAAATAAGAATTGAATCTGTCCATCCATGTAAAACTTTTATATGTCTTAAACGCATTTAGCACGAGACGCGTTTCGATACGTCCACATGTTTTATTCTGGACGCGTGTAAACGCGTTCTTTTCTAAAAATTGAAAAAACGCGTTTAAATGCGTTTTCTCAAACGCTAACGTTCACATGGGTAATAGACTTTGTTTTGAAAAATAATCTTAAAACCTAGAACTGTAGCTCTATTGCCTGTTTGATCAATGTTGTTTTTCTTCTTAGTGAGTTCATTTGTCGTGGAGTATGATTATGTGGCTAAAAATAATGATGAATTGTCCATTAACAAAGGAGATATTATTCACAATGCAACGCATTGCAATGATGACGGATGGATGAAAGGAGAATGTAATGGAAAAACCGGGTAAGCATTGTTATAATAATGAAATCTTTAAACACAATAATCTGTTTTTTCTCATCTGTATTATTTCCAGGTATTTTCCCGAGAATTTTGTTGGCGTAAGAGATTTTCATGTAGGAATGAAGTTTATTTTCTAATATTATTTTTACTTTAGCCTGTTACAAAAGAAAAGGCAAAACATCGAACACTCATTAGTGAACTTAGTTCTAAAGTATTACAGGGATCATCGACAAATAATAACAATAGTAATGGGAATAACAACAGCAAAGATACATTACGAAAACGGCCGAATGAGCGTGCTGCGAATTCAAACAATACACATATGAACGGTAAAAGTCATTAACGAGTGCGTCAAAGTTTACAAGTGTATACTCTCTAAATTTGAACCAATTATCCTAAAATTAGTAAAAGAAATTTTTTATCCAATTAAAGCACTGAAATTGGAAAAAATACTTGCTACTTCAGCTTAAACATTAGCTTAACATCCTTTTAAAAGAGAACCTGAGTCAGTGCATTCGACAAAATGCTTTCTTTTTGTTTGATCTACAATTCTGTAGTTATTTTATCTTCATAGTATAATGTTCTTCTCAATAAGACAGACACTCAGTAATGTGAAAGCTTATAAATGAGATATAAGATCAGCCTTTAAGTTTAGCAGCTTTTTAGAGTGTGACGTGCAGCAAGTAAAATATTTCTGAGAGGAAGATGTTTCTTAAGACTGACATTCTTTTTGTGTCTCTGCCTACACTTGAAACTATGTTTATTTTCCTTCACGGATCACTTTTCTCTTCAAAACGCTTTTGTTTTCTTAATAGATACATAAATACGGTCTGTTCTTTTATTTTGTTTTCTTGTTTTGCTTAGAAAAGTATGTATTGCTAAACTATTTCATGCGCCTTCTTGCTTTGTAAGTTGTTCAGTATTTAATTTTTTTTTTCGCAATTCATCGCTTAATTTGCTATTCACGCAACGTTACAATTATCAGGCTAAAAAGTAGCGGACAAAGCCGCCTAAACTTTTTATCCGACACTTTGCATATAATTTTTTTTTTTTGCTAATGACAATCAAAAAATAAAAGAAAAATGAAGATAATTTATTTTAGTGTTTCTCTTCTAAAAATAAAAAAATCTGTTGTGTTTATTCTAGTTCAAGCACTACAGCAGCCCGTTTTGTTTACGGTTAAAGTGGATTACGCTTATAATCCAGTACATCCAGATGAATTAGCAATTAAACCAAATGATGTTGTGAATGTTATACGTATAGTAAGTTGCTTTTAGTGTAATGTGAACCCTGGATTGAGAAGTGGTGATCGAAATATCAATCATCCCTATGTTTAAGTTATAAACGATTGAGACTGCTTGTTAATTAGAGTTTGATTTTCTAGTTTACACACTCATAAATTGCAATTTTTATGGACATGAAGATGAGGATGTTTATTTCTAAAAGCCTTAAGAAACATATTGTGCTGAGTTTTACTAGTTTTTATGAAGGATTTTTTCTATAAAAATTCAATCCATCGAAATAGAAAGATGCATTCTGATCTGAAATTTCATATTATGCTTGAAATCTAGCCTCACGAGCAGAGTAGATGTTAGAGTGGCTCAATCTGACCGATAGCCACGAATTTTGTCAGGAGCGGTGCACAAATATTCTTTGGCTCAGAGGACATATTTATGTGTTTCAAAACACTGAATACTTCCATCTGATAAGAGCTTAATGCCAGCTCCTCTGTTAAGAGGCCAGCTTAGAGCGTGTGAGGTCTCATCTTGTTTGCGGCCCTGATATAGAGCGATCTTCAAACCTTTTGTCTCTTTTTTGATTACCGCAAAATTGAAAATCTGAGTTTAAATGTAAACAATATCGCATTTTATTAGAATAATCGAGTTTTTCTTCGTCTAGAAAATTCGTGTATTGATCTCTAAGAACATCTAGACATCGCAATTTAAATTATTCATGCTACTGTAGATAAAAAAATTTCCAGTAAGCTTAGTTAGAAAAGGTTTAAATTAAATTCAAAAGAAAACTCCCAGTTCCAAAAAAGTCTTTTTAAGAGTGATGATCAACAACATTATGCGAACAACTGGAAGTTGAAAATAAATTTCGACAGCTTGATTAGATATTTGTTTACATTTAAGGTTGTAATGTGGCAATTATTGACGCTTTTGATGCTCATATCCATAAAACTTATAATTATTGATTTTCTAAACTAGGAATCATGATCTAGGAAAAAAGTCAAGTCTCTACTATTTGTGGTTTACACACAATAATGGTCGCACATTTGACCATTACTTTTGTATTGAGAGTTACAAGAGAAACACAAATGAAAATCATTATTGTTAGGTCGAGGATGGATGGAACGAAGGTGAATTGAACGGCAAAACAGGTTTATTTCCAACAAATTACGTTACTCGCATTAATAACGACTCCACAAGTATGTACATCTTCTTCATCCATAATCAAGAAATAAAGAAATTTCATTTTAGATTCAAAAGCAAAAAAAGATCCTGTAAAACGGAAAACTAATGGAGTAAGCACTTTAGTTAGCAGAGAGGTATGTGTACTAAAGATTTTAGTATTTTATATTCAAAACAGTGTTTATATGTCCTTTTAGATACCGAAGCCATCATATATTCCAGTTACGCCATCATCATTTTCAGCACAAATACCCTTCACACCAAGTCCACCGTTGACAATGAAAAAGAATCCATTGGCAAGCATACAATATTCAGCAGTTAGAGCGCGTGTATTGTATGCATACAATCAGTCAGCCCCCGATGAGCTAACATTGAACGTTGGCGATATAATTAATGTATTAGAAAAAAATTTAGAAGATGAAGGATGGTATGTGTTTTCCATACACTGTGTCGACGCTATTTGTCTGAATACTATCAAATAATAACTAGATAATAAATTTATTGAAATTGTTTTCATAACAGGTGGAAGGGAGAGATAAATGGCAAAGTGGGTGTTTTTCCTGATAATTATGTTGAAGAAATTGTAAGTATCTTAGTTATCAAATGTGACTTTTTACTAAGATTAATTCTATTAAGATACGAAAAGATCGTCCGAATACTCCTGAGACACAGAAATACGAATCACAAACATTGCCAAAAACAAAAATGGGAAATGGAGGTATTTGTGTGAAAAAAATTCTTTCTATTTCATCAACTGAAGCAAAAAATATTTCCTTTAATAGATGCAACGTTGAGAAACTCAACTGATACAAAAAATCAGAGTAATGAAAAAAAGACACCAGCAACTAGTGACGATGAAGGTAAACATAATATGATTTGCAAATCAAAACTTGCCGATAATCTCTCTGATTGGTATTTAGTACTTCTACAGTACATTATCACGGCAGAAGTAAAAGTGTCTGGACATCAGAGAAGTGCTATCACTATAACTATGTTTCTACTGTCTTTTGTTCATTTTTATAGATCATTTGAATTCTCGTAATCATTATGCTGAAATTAATAATTTGGATGCTATAGCAAATACGGAAAAGCTCAGCAATTTTTCAAAACCACAACCATTATCATCGAAAAGACCACCATCATCGTCACGTCTTAACAGTAGATATGTAAGCAGAATGTTGTTTGTCTTTATTACATTCATTATGACTAATGAATACATAAATCTACATTTTAATTAAAGGAAAACGGTTTTAACAAAAATGGAAGCTTCTTTGATGACACAAATCAGAATAATGAGTTGAAGGTATAGAAATTGTCTGCGTACGTTTTGATATGTCTAAGTAATTCTTTCGATGATTTAGAAAGAACGACCGTTACATTCTCCATCACCACCACAAACACAACGAGGTATGTTTCAAAACATATTAAGCTTTTTTCTATCGTTTTTTTGTTTTAGATCCATCTCAATTAGAATCTCCTCGTTCTCGCGTTGATTTTAATCGAACATTGAATAATCATCAAACTGAATCGTTAAATCATTCCTTAAGCAACAACAATCGTGAAAATAACATTAATCTCCATAGTAACAATTCATTTGCTTCACAGCCAGGATTAATGAACACCTCGAAAAATTCGTCTTACGTCAACACAACATCTTCGTTACAGCACGGTCAACAGCAACAACAGTCTCCAGATCAATCGCTAATAGAACAATTACAAAAGGATCTGGAACATATGAAAATGGCAATGGAACTTATGAGAGGAAAATTTCATAACAAACTTTCGACATTAGTTAATGAATTAGATGATGAGAAAAAAGTCAGGTCAAAATTACAAATTGAATTAGAACGAGTTCAAAAAACTATCACTACATCGGGGCTTTTTGATAAGGTTTTTTGAATTAACTCATAAGAAATTTGATTTTTGTGAACGAACGTCTTCCATTCTTATTTTCAACTACTTCTTCAAATCGTCACGCAGTGACGTCTTCGAATGAATCTAATTTGCACAATTTAAATTTCGCTGTGTTTGCTGGTCTAATTTCACAAATTAGCGTTTATTTATTTCCTTGTTTTGAACAAACCTAGTAGTTTAGTGCAACGACTTCTTTTCAACTTCTAGTGCATTAGTCTGTGTCTCCTTCTGCATCATCACTTATTAGCTCAATGGATACCTGGTCTTGTCTCTCAAATCAGATATTTCACCTAAACATTGTCTTATGAGTTAGATGACACTCATATTCAGCCTTGAATGCAACAAATTATTATTTTTTTTATATATGGTGTAGTTACATTGTACATTTGAGTAGTAATTAATTTCTTAGAACTATTTTTCTCCTTCGTTAACATTCCTTACCCAATGCAAGAAACAGATAAACGTTTTCTATGATCATCTAGACAACATCTAGATTTATTTGTTGATTTTTGAACAGTTTTTTAATTTCTATACAAGTTTTTCTATCCTCACTTGTTTAAAAGGCATTTTATTAATCAAATTTGTTTAGATAGTTCATTTAGCTGTAGTGTGCAATTTATGCCTTCAATTTAATATACTGGACGTGTTTTTTTGTTTTGTATAATAGAATTATTAGTCTTAGTTTTCTTTTTGTTAACTGTGTTACGATATATACCTTATTTTTCCTAGGGAGACAAGTTTCACGTTAATTTTTTTGTTTGCGTACGCATCTGGGATCGTGTTTCTTATTATGTTTATTTACACTGCAGCAAAAAATATTTCATAATGTTAGCTTCTGTGCACATAAAGTATTTTTTTAACATTTTATAATAAAAAAAAATATTGCTCTCAGCAATAGAATAAACCAGAAAAAGATCTTATTTCCTGTTGGTAACAAGACAAGGGAAAGAACGACATTACATTTGTTAGATTGATGTTTATAGTGATCTAGTAACGTCTAAATGGGCGCTCACTGTGCTTGACAAAATAACAAGCATTACTGCACTCTTTTCCGTTAGTACTTCCATAACGTAGAGAATTCATAAAAGCAAAAGATCGTTCAGAAATACGCTTTGCAACTTGCAAACATTCTTTACACTGAAATATCATAATCTGTAACAAAAAACGAACTTCTAAGTATCTAAGCATTTGAATCGAGACGATTGGAAACAATTTACAGCAAATATTGAATCTGATAAAACTTCTATTAATGGAACTTGCCATTTCCTCTTGTGAAATACTTCTTAGTGTGATGTTTACTACGAAGTAAGAGTACATTAATGTGGATATTTTAACGAGTAAGTTTACGAAACTGGATTACGCCTATGAAACCTATGACACAATATGTAATGTGTATCTTGTTTCATTCTATTCTATTTGAATCACTAACATTTTGTGAATTAATGGGCAAGGTTAATAACAGAAATTAAGAATAGTTGGGACTAACATGTATTTAAATTGTTATTTATAATTTTTTAATTTTTCTGAAAATTCTTAACATGTTAACCGTAACTATTCTTAAATTTCTGCTATTTGAATCAGTTGGATAATAGATGAGTATTAAATTCTCTACTATAATATCATCTAATAAACAAACCGATTCAAGTATTTTTCTTTCCGCTCCTATTTCTTCGCTAATGCAACAAAATTTAAAAAACCAAATATATCACTATAAAGTAGTTGATAATCCGTTTGAATTTAAATTGAAAATATGGGATCGTTTTGCACTACCCGCGTAGTTAGCGGTTGTGAACAAATGATAACAGCCTATTAGGGTCCAGGGAAACTGACACAGGCGGAGAGGTTGTTCGTAGTTGGGCTTTAGAAAGATTAGCAATAGGAAGGAGACTTGAAATCGCTATAAATCGTGCATATTTTCCAACGAAGAGAATGTTTTATTCAATTAATTAACCTTTTTCTTATGCGGCATCAACACATTTGTCTTATCTGCTGTTCATGCTATCTATTTTTACATTAAATAAGGTTACATATTAGAAAAAATCTTCTGAACAAGTACATGCATGAGTTGGCGTTCATATCGATCCCTCCTTGAAGTATGGAACGGTGGGATGATAAAAAGAAAATTTCCACCGAGACGAGACGGGCGAAAAGGTCGGGAGCGATTTGAACCTCAAGGGAACGGGACGTCCCCGCCCAGCTCTGGTGGTTACCTTAAAACGTGTCAATGTTTACTCATCATCACTTGAAAACAACTAAGATCGTCTGCTTTTTAGTTTTACTTTCACTTTTTTTATTAGGAGACTGCACATACAATGAAACAATCAGAAAAGAAGAAAAAAACACAATGACACTGAAGCGAAATAGCAGTAGTACACATAAAAGTCCAGCGAAGTATCGATGTCTTACGATTGTACCAAAAAGTAATCTGTGGACTACAGTAAGAGAAAGAAAAACCGAACAATAGCCCGTCAGTTCATTCTTCAACACACACACACACACATATCCAACTTCAAGTGCAAAATTTTTGAGACATTTCATAATCAAGAATAAAAATCTATAACTCTGTTTTTGTTAGCAATCACTCATTAAATCAACAAGCAGTAGAATAGTATTTTTTAAAAACTGTATGCTAAATATGTACAAAAAAGAAAAACGCTCGACGGTAATCGTAATAACAAATAACAGCGTGTGTGTGTGCTTTAAAACATGTTTTTCTCAGAGAAAATAAACACGCATGTACAGGGATTTTCCTATGTTTTCCCTATAATAAATTATAATTTTAACATATTAAACAAAAAAAAAATGTGTAAAAAAGAAAATGCTTTTTTATTATTTTTTTCCTTTTGGTTGTTGTGCAGTCGGTGCACCTGGAGCACGTGGCGGAGTCAATGGTCGACCAGAATTTAAACCGCCATATTGATATTTTGCTTTCTTTTCACTTGGTTTTAAAATCTATACAGAAAAGAATTGATTATTGACGTACAGTTATCAACTTAAAAAACTTTTAAACCAGCTATGACGCTTAACTTTTTTTTTCAGCATGATGGTATTTTCATTCTTACCTGAAACGAACACATGAGTGTTTCGTCCACGCTCATCATTCCACCAGCGTTGTCAAATTCACCACAATAATTTGGAGCAGAAAATAATGTTACTAACTGACGTTTTGCAAAAAACTCATAACCATCTTCCACCACCTAAGTAATAAAATGAAAATCAATTTTCAAAATAATAATGATTAAGAAATAGAACAAACAACTTTACCTGATGTGCACGGCAAATGAGATCCATATCATGTCGATTCAAGAACTAAAAGATAAGACAAAAACAAATATTTGCACTAGTAATCATCACCTTTTTGTTATAAAAGATTTATTACCTTGCTAACAACATCTGCACCAAAGGTAAATGAGACACCGCGATCATTTTCACCCCATCCTTGTGTATCTTTATCCGGATCCGACCATAAAAGATCGCATAATAAGCCTAAAATTATGTTGATAACCATAAATATCAGCAGATGATACAAGAGAACTTCTTGTTATTACCAGTATCCGGCACATCCGTTGGTCTCATTATTCGCCGGATTTGTTCCATTGTTTGTAAATCTGGTGATAAACCTAGAAGCGAGAAACGTAGAAATTGATGAATTCTGTTGTTTTTAGAAGATCATTCTTACCGCCATGACAACAGAAGATTTTCTCATCAATAATTGCTGCTATCGGCAAACAGTTGAAACAATCCGTGAATGTTTTCCATAATTTGATATTGTATCGTCTTTTACCTGTAAGAAAATGTCCTCATCTTTCTAGTCTATTAAATAATAGGCTTAAACGAGTGGTCGCTACAATTTTCTATTATGGACTATAATTCAACATAATTTTGAACACTGAATAATGGAATTATGGTCGCTTTGATTAATCAAATTTTTGGTACTTAGTTACTCTCACTTTTTTACTTTGGTTGTTTGAAATGCTGCGGTTGAAAATTGAAAATTATGTTGAACTATTGTCATAATGGAAAATTGCAAACATAATGGACAATGCTGGCTTAAACTTAGTATAAACCATTCGCAACAAAGAAGACTAATTATCATACATTCATCGTAGAACCCATATATTCTGTTGATAGAAGCACATTCATGATTTCCACGTAATAGAAAGAAATTCTCAGGATATTTTATTTTGTACGCTAATAATAAACAGATTGTTTCTAATGATTGTTTTCCACGATCGACATAATCACCCAAAAATAAATAATTGCTTTCTGGCGGAAATCCACCATATTCGAATAAACGTAAAAGATCAGTATATTGACCTATAGCAGAAAAGAAGGAAAATATAAGAATCAAAAGAGTTTAATACGTTTTTTGAATCATTTCGTACCATGAATATCACCTAAAATGATAAAAAAAGTGTTACCTCATAGATAATGCATAATGTAAAAGAAGGCATACCGCATATCTTCAATGGTGCTTCAAGTTCAAGTAAAATTGGTTGACTAAGAAAGATTTCACGTGACTTTAAACAAAGGCCACGAACTTCTGCTTCTGTCATTTGTACGATTTTTCCGGGACGGCATCCTCGAACTAAAATATGAATACATAAAAACAAATGAACTATTCGATCCGTATTTATTCTTCTTAGATCTTAGCTTTACCCTCTAACAGACGGGATATTAAACTTTCAACGTTGAGGTCCGGATCACCAGACATGGTTTGTTTGTTTGTTTCTTTGTTTGTTATTAAATCTGATTAAGTGTCAGAGAAAGTCTCTACACTAATTTTTACGAAGCTTTTGTTTAGGAAATTGATACAAAGAAGAGAGAAGAAAAGAAAACCAACAACGAGCCGCTAATACTCGTGATGAAGTAGAAAAGAAGAGCAAAAAACCTATATACTACAAAACCAGAAAGAAAATGTATATATATATGCAAGTACTGCCTTTTCGTTTTGGTAAACAATAATTCTTTTCTCCTTTTGTGATCTCAATGAGTAGTACATCTAAATGTGTTGTATTATACGTGAGCTTAATACAATGTCTTCTCTAATATATTAGTTTTTTTTTTCTTCTTTTTTTTCTGCATCAAACACTATGGTAACTTTCTTCTGCATATTAACAATCAATACAATCAGTCTTTTGAGAGAGCAAAAACGAACAAAAATTTTATCAACGTTACGTCCTTTTGCTTTCTTCCTTTCTCTCACATGAGGTGAGAAAAAGGTAGGATTAATATAAGTCAATGAAAACTGAATTCAAGAAATAAACAACAACGGCACAAAAATTTTTAGTGCATAACTGATTCATTTGTATAAACCTATACATAATGTTGTATCCTCTAAACTAAGACATTTCAGAACAGAATGAATAATTTAACAGCTTTAAAAAAATATGTGAGGTTTCACATGTTTGTGCCATCCAATAAATTAATATCTCGAAGACGATGATTCATTTTATCTCTTTCAAACGAACCAAAACGAAAAAAAAAACGTGCTGATATGAGTTCATTTATATTAGTCTGATCGGGATAATCTCGCATAAATAAATAACTAGTATATGGGCTATCGATAATTATTTATTATATAAGAAAATTTCTTTGGTGAAATTCATTGGATGAAAGTTTTGAATCAAGAACTAGATGAGATTTCCTTTCCTGTTTTTGTTTTTTTCGGTCCTGCTACAAGTACCCAGATATTCACCATTCTACAATATAGATGGCGCTATTTTTGCGAATATCTCGGTACCTGTAGCGGGGCCGAAAAAAACAAAGACAGGAAAGAAAATCTCATCCAGTTCTTGACTAAATCCAAAACTTTCATCCAATGAATTTCATCGAATAAATTCCTCTGATATAGCAAATACTTACCGACAGTCCACATATTAAACATATAGTTTCTTGCTTTTAAGTTTACTGCGAGGATTTTACGATATTTTTTGGGCAGGTTCTCTGTATTATTCCTTGTAAGTTTGTTGCATCATTTATCAGTCGCATTGTTATGGCAAAATTTTTAACAAAATACGCAATTCTTAGCATACTTCTGTATTTGCAAAGGATATAATATCCAATCTGACGCAGAACACACGCAATTTACAGTTGCTTGTTGAAATTCAATCTAAAATTAATTCAGAAGTGGGATGTCTTCTGACTTTTCGTGAATTATTCTAAAAATCCTAAAAATTCTCCTCATATCAGTTTTAGTCAGGAGGTTCTTCATAGATGGCGAGAACTCTCATCTTATCGATTGCGATAGATCTCGGCTTAAAATGTCAAGCAAACAAATTCTGATTCGAATTGTATTTGAGAGAAAAATAAAGAAAAACGTTCTCAAACTCGTTTTGACTAATTTTAATTGAAAATTTACCTTATAACAAAAACTGCATCGATCGACATAGATCAATCTATAGACGACAGAGCATTTTGAAAATAGGTGAGGCTCAGAATAGTTTCTTCTCCTTTTCCCATCGAATTTTTACTGAAGTGTTCAATTAGAATAAAAGCTTCTCTTGTTTTGAACACGAATAAAAGAGCAAGTAAATCAATACAAAATAGAAATAACCTAAAGCGCCCCGAAAAACTGTTTTCTCCGTTCATTCTCCGATACAAAACTGAAAAAATACTATTCAAGTCACGAAGATCTTTTCTCTACTTGAATATAGGGTTCGAACTACGCGTTTTAACGAAATATGGAAACCAGAAATAGTATCTTCAGTCCGCTATCTATGGATCAGTCATTTGATAATGTCTCCTAAATTGTCGTATATACTTCGTGAAACCTTTTTAAAAAATTCTGACGGAAAACTGGAAACTTAGGATCTTATCTCTTGTCTGCTAATTCTTGAGTCTGCTTATTGGCAGTTTTACTAAACTGCTGGGCGCGTGTAGATTCAAATCAATATTTTTACAAAGCAATAGAGAAACATGAGGGCTCTATTTAGTTATAATTACGTTGTATATTAACTCTTGTAGGTACTTCTATTATTTATTCATTTCCTGAACTTTCAATATTGACAGTAATGTCAGGTCGTGAAGGAGGCAAGAAGAAACCATTGAAACAGCCGAAAAAAGACAAGCAAGAATTAGACGATGATGATAAAGAATTTAAAGAAAAACAAAGATTAGAAAAGCAAAAATTAGCCGACGCATCCAAAAAAGCATCTGGAAAAGGCCCATTGAAATTAGGTAGTTGAAAACTGTGTGCGGAATAGTACTAAACATGAAAATAATAAAATGCACAAACATTGATGAATGCAGAGTATTTTGTTGTTTCTTTTTTGTGACGTTCTGTTAAATAAATTTTTTTTCTTTCATTGAAGTAACAACGGTTGAATGGCATAGTGAAAAATGCCTAAGATGTGACTCATAAAGACGTTACTTAAGTTAAGATAAAACTAAGATTTTAATTGAAGTTCATCTGAATTTAAGAGCATAAGAGCCTATCCTACAAGCATGACTGAAGTTAGACTCCAATGAACCACCTAACTTAAGTCAAAAAGCTAAAGAAAAAGCTATGGTAAATTGAGAAAAACCTTGGATTTGTTTTAAATTCTAAGATGTAAATTTGATATCTAACTTAATTTTAGCTTAGATTTTTCGTGAAACACAACCCTGATCACAGTTCAGAGAATCAAAAAACGCGTTCGAGCTTTCTTTATTCAGTGCTGAATTATAATCAGATATTTGAAAATGTAGATTGAAAGATAAAACGAATAGTTTAGATAGATTGAATAGTTCATTGTATATCAGTTATTTATTCCTTCTTTTGAAAATCATTGCTTGTCGACATAATTTGATTTGTAAAATCTGGAAAAGTTAGAATCTTTTATTTCGTTTACCACTATATATCTTACTCGTCTAAATATTTATGAAATTCTCTATGTTTATTTGCCCATAAGTCGTTATTATAGGACTTGATTCATGAACGATTTGGATCGGTTCTAGTGTTACTCTAATGTCCCTTGTCAAGAATTCCAAGAAATTTTGTATTTTTGTGGGATTCCTGCGTGAGTCTCGACTTGGAATCTGAAATTCATTTTGTTTGACGGAATATCGAATAAAATCTGAACCTCTTATTCTGCATTAGTGTTGAAAAAAGGATGAATTTAGTTTCTATTTCTCGTCAAAATATACATATTTATTTCAAGCGATATATTCTTTTATCAACTCGATCAAGAAAAAGTTTTGTTTCATGTCTTCTAGTTGAAAAAGAATCTGTTTCAATTGGTCTAGATGCTTTAAATCGATTTCTATTCTAGATTTTGGACATTTCAATTTATCATGTTGATAGAAGAAATAATCTTATAACTGAAGGACGACGTTGTTTAGCAAAACTCAAGAAAATCGAGCAAAAATCGAATGAATAAAACATCATCTTCAATAACAACGACTTACGATCCATTCAATACAAAACAATTGCAAATACGTGCAAAAAAGTCAACACCAATTTCTCTTAGAGCAGTTCTTATTATAGCCGGTATAACCTACATTGGTGTTAAACTTATTCCAACTGAATATATTCGTCCGGATATAATTGGTTTAAATCGTGCAAATAAACGAACAATATTATCTAAAAAGCTCTAAATGGGGTTAATTCGAGAAGCATGGGTTCGTCTTCATGAAAAACGTTTTTTAGAATGGTTATTTCTTGAACGTCCTCAAGTGTGCGTAACCGGTTGTATTTTATACTATGCTGGTTTATATTGCGGCCAAAAATATGACTGGAGGGGCAAACTGCGTAATTATTTTGGGAACCAACAGTAAGATACAGTTATACTATGTTTTTCAGATTTCTCTCTAACTTTTCTCGAAGATAGAATGAGATTAATGACAGACGAGATCGGGGAATAAATGTAATAGGAGAAGACTATCAAATGATCGATCATAACTTTTAATCATTGTTTTTTATTTATATTTTAGAAAATATGTTCCTGGCATACCGAATTCTTATAAAGATTTATCTTCAAAAACTAGCTCTTAGTTGTCATCGTAATGTTGTTGTCCTCGTCCTCTCTCGTTCATTTTGGACAAGTGAATAATATGAACTTGTGTTTAAACCATTTACATTTGTTTTCATCTTCTTATTGTGCTATGGATTATTTAAAAATGATACATAGTGATAATACATTTTTCGATATAGAATGACGTTCAAAAAATTGTTTACCAACACCCTATTTGTGTTATGCCTAAACAATCACAAATGTATTTGGAATCGTATTTGTATTTTGTGATGATGTTTTGTAGATTTTGACTATAATTAAACAAATATGTTTGTTTTCATTTGAAAAATAAAGTTTTATAACAGTTTACAGATTTGATTGATCAAATTGAAAATATCGATCGTTTAGTAATTGAATTGAATTTTATTTATGTTATGTTGACTACTGTACAAAGTATGCTATGTAAAATTATGGGCATATGATTGTTTGCAAAAATCAAGAGAACTTTTTTTGTGCAAATGCATACCTCGAACATGTTACTGTTGATGATCAGATTAAGAATCAATCAATGAGTTAGATTAATAATATTAATGGAATGACCTGATATGTTGTGGATTGTATTTTCAGTCATTCATAGCATGCAATGAGTATGAGGATAAGCTCAACGTGTAAATGCGTGTTATATTCTCTAACAGCTGATGTGAGATTAATTGAAATTAATTGATATTTTTTCTTATTGATTTTGAAACTAATGTAGTTTCAAGAAAAGACTTATTCAAAAATTTATGTTAAACGAGAAATATATTCAAAACTTTTAGATAGTTATACTACTCGTATGGATAGTTTTTAAAATGTTGTCGAATCAACTATAAGCTTACCTTTTGCAAATGTTTGCACCGAATATATTTAAATGAAAAAAAGGAGAATCAGTGTTTCTTTGTGTTTTCGTGTCTATTCATCAAGTTTTTGTCATTTTTCAGATACTATTGTTTTCTTAGAACATGTTAAAGGTAAAAATTGTTTCCGGTAGCAAATAAAAAAAATTATATTGTTGTAGTCAGATCTTTGATCACTCTTCTAATCAACTCTTCATTTATTTTGTAATTCTGTGGGTAATCTATTTCCGTTAAAATGTGAACGAAACAACGTCTTTAGTAGCGATGCAATACAACGTTAAAACCTCTTCAGATACGCTCAAATAATAAACTGATACTCTCTGATAAAATCGTGTATATTTTTTGACTATAGATCACAGGCCAATATTTAAATCAACACGGTGATATTCCACATGCAAGTAAGTAATAACTTCAATTTTCAAAAATGTTTTAACCCTCTGTAGCATTATACAATCTAAATTGTCTGCTGAAAATCAACGGATGGGATTACTAAAGATAATAGCTTATGACAATAGATTCGGGAAGTCGAATGTATTGGTTTTTCTATATTAAGGAAGTAGTCATAGTGTGACAGCTATTGGTAATCATTTGTATGTATTTGGCGGAGAATATGAACCTCGTATTCCAGTTGATAACGATATTTATCAATACAATATAAAGTCTGGTGAATGGAAAAAATTAATGACAACGGGTGAAAAACCATCGCTAAGAATTGCACATGCAGCTACATCTATAAGTAATAGGTATAAAATGACAGAATTTTTGTCTCATTTACACTATAAAAGCATCATATGCAACTAACTCTATACCTTAGGTTGTACATTTTTGGTGGACGGACAGGGATAGAAACTGATGAAAATGTATTTAATGATTTGTATTCATTTGATGTGATATCTTTAAAATGGGAAAAGTTCGAGTTTGATTCGAATGATATATTACCTGAAAAACGTAGTTATCATTCTATGACAAGTATGAAAGATAAACTTTATGTATTTGGTGGTTGTGGAGAGAAAGATCGTTTAAATACTCTATGGGAATTCGATACTATGAAATGCAAATGGAGAAATCTTCCATCACCTGATAAGGAGCAAATAAAACCACGTGGAGGTTGTGGTTTGGTTGCCTACAACAATTGCTTATGGGTTTTTGGAGGTTTCTGTGGTTTTGAACTGGACGATGTTGTAAATTTTAATTTGGAGAATCAAACATGGTCTGTACTTGAAACAAAGATTTCTCCAAGAAGTGTATTTGCTTATGGTCTGTTGAATGGTTTTATTATTGGTTTTGGTGGTGAACAAGATCCCTCCAGTTTGGGACATAGTGGGGCTGGTGAATTTGCAGATGATGTTATTTTGTTTGATGTTAAAGCTGGTACTTCATCAAAGTTTCTTCGTTTAAATATTGAAACCGATAGTACAATAGAGAAACGAGGATGGCATGCGGGTGATTCAACTGACAATTGTTTTTATGTATTTGGTGGAAATACGAGTGAAAATACGAGAGATAACATGCTGATTCTATTGAAGTTAAAAAATAATTAAAAATTTGACTGCTTATTTTATTTGTAATTCACGCATCTTTATTTTTTTAAATAAATAATTAACGGAGAATCGTGAGAGTATTCAAACGTTTTGTACGATCGATTTTAAGTTTATGTTCTTAAAAAAGCCGATTATTTTGGTTTAAAATTGTATGATCAGAAGTCAAAGTATTTTATAATAAAAAGCTAGGTTTATCCGCCAGCTTTTATAGGCGTCGACAATTAACAATTAAATACAGGTGAAAACATCTTATGAAACTGACTTACAAAATTTCTCTTACTATAAAAGATTTCTTTTTCTAATAGTGGTTTTTGGCCTTCTGGTTTTGATAAGTGCATTTGATAAGTAATATTTGTTAAACGTAATATTAAAATAATACTCTTGACACTATTTACATTGTCTATCCTCGTATTGTTGTTTGAAAAACAGGGTATAAGTGTTTTCTCTGCTGAAATCTACCTGTATATTGACGGTCGGCCACAAAGGCTGTATCTACTTCAATATTTATCATCGAAAAGAACCATATCTAACATTTTTAATTGATGTGTTGGTCAAACAACATTAAATAGTTTTATGTCAAGTACAGATCTTTATTTTTTTCTATAGACAAATAATTTAGTACTAGTAATTGAATTTAACGAACTATTTTAGATATAACAGGCTCATCCTAATATCCCACAAAGCCAACAAAATCGGTTAGTATTGAGCAATAAGTGCAACCAATTGTAAATCTAGGAAATTATGGATGTTAAGCTGTGGTAATTTCAGTTGCTTTAAATCAACACCCGTTTATAAAGATTTACTCTCCGATCTGCTTTTCAAATTTTGCCCTTTCTGCAAACGGAGTTTCTTCATTGGCATTTCAACAAATTTTGACAGAAGCAGACATTCATTTGGTATTTCTGCTTTTTGCAGTAATTTTTTTAGAATTTTGACAAAAATTTGGGTTAAGCCGTCAATGATCTCTAGTGATTTGTATTTGTTGTGCATATTGTTGTCGAAGATATAGTAGAATTTCGACAAATTTTCTGCGATTGGATGCCGGCATATCGAAATCAATGAATGTAGTACTTGTGTTCAGCAGTAGTAGATGCACGAAGCTCAAGTGGATGTACTAAGCAGTACATCGACGGCGCATGCGATAAGTTTGTGGAGTTATTAGGAACAATATGAAAAATACTAGAACAGCAAAAATGAACAATAAAGGAAACAGATAGAAGTTAAATACATGAAGATGATAACAGGGGAGTGAATGGGTAAAAACGAATGATAAAGAAGAAGTCGAAATTCCTAAATAATTTCTAAAATTTTACATATTCCACTTCATTTGTCGAAATTTCAATGGAATTTCTAAATTCGCAGAAATTCCGTTACAATTTCGACGTGTCGAAATTCCAAAAGCAGATCGGCGCGTTTACCTTTATAAACTACAAGGATATTTAGTTTTTAAACAGAGCTGTTTCTGTCAATCTAGATGTCATCTAAGGGAAACAATAATGATCACGGTAATTCTCGGTCTAAAATATTGGAACGCTCGGTAGCCAATGCTCATTTAATAACAACAATCAAAGATCAACTAAAACAATTGGAAAAAAAAGAACAACACTTAATTGATAAACAAAATCAACTGAAAAAATATTTATCCAACGAACATGCTCGATGTTCAGATCGTCGAAAAATACTAGAACAATATGATATTCATTTGAAGCGTGACAAACAAGTTAAAGAAGGATTAGAAAAAGACGAAAATGACTTGAGTAAACAATTAAGTAATTTAGAACGAAGTAATGATGGAATTATTAATGAGCGAAATTATTTACAATTATCATTAAATGCCATAGATGAACAAATTCAAACTATTCGTCTGAATCTAACATCAAATGAAGAAAAGATTGAACAAGAATATACATCACGTGGTATACAAGGAGAAATAGAAAGTACAGATCGAAGAATCAAAGATATTACAAATGAAATTCAACGATTAGTGATGAGCAACAATCGAGTTATTGAACAACAAAGTCGAATTTCATTGAGTAGTCAACAAGATACAATAAATAAAATGATTGAACAAATTCATAAGGTCTTACAAACAACAATAAATACAAATTCAGTTCAACAATATCAAGATACTTTACAGACTACTAAACAAAAACTTATCGCAATACACAATCAATTAGATATGGATCAAAGTCAATTAACTAGCAATTTCAATTCAATACACCAACTTCAACAACAACGTGCCTCGTTGGAAGCGGTGAATGAAGCGAAACGATATGATATGCAATTATATAAACGTTTGGAACAAGAAACTCCAGAATTAAGTTTCAAGAATAGAATAATACAACAAAATCTTGAACTATTATTTGATCAAAAAGATCGTATCGTCAAGGAAATGAAAAAAACTGAGATTAAAATTCAACATAAACAAAGTGAATTACAAGCATTCAATCGACGAACGAATTACTTATTGGACACAATGAAAATGGTACAAAACGATTTGTTACAAGGAGAAAATTCTATCCAAGAAACAGAGTTAAATTTAAAAGAAATTGAGGAACAGTTGGTACAAATGAATCAACTCTTTAATGAAAGTCAACAAAAATTACAAGAATTGAATGCCTCAGTGGATAAAACAAGAGAAAGTTTTCAATCAATACCGAATAGAAGCATAGAAAGATTCACCAAGAACCATAATAATGATCAACACATTGAAGTTAAGATAAGACGCACAAAAATGTATACTTCAGAAGAAGATGACCATAGCAAAAAGTTAATTTGGAATTAATTTTTTTATCGCTATTCGATTGATTCGATGAAAGAATGATTATAATTAATTAGTTTCATTTTCCTAAAAATTGTTATGTTGCATATCGATTTATACAATAAAATAATTTTGTTTTAGAACATTTGTCATAAAACACGATTAGTGAGATCTACGAACAAATGAAATATTGTCCATTGCGATGACGGGTTGGGCAGAGAAAATAACGCCACTTTGCAATTCATCCTTTGGATAATCGTATCAACTCCAAAGCTTCGTTCTGAGCTTAAAAGATGCAGAATTTTCTCTAGTTTCTAGTGCTGTGTTTAGATTAAGATGTACCCTAATCGACTTTTCGCTGTACTCAAAAGATCGGAAGTCTCAAAAATCTCAACTATTCACCACTTCACTAGAAAAAAATGATTTATATCTTCATAGAAGTTTTGCTCGCGCGATTCAAAGACGGTATTACAAATTACAATAAAATTCTTAATTGTTGAAGCACAAAACGATATTTTTTGACAAAGTTTTAGAGCCGTAAAAAACAGCCTACAACACACTTGGGTCATTATTTGTGTTTGGCACCATTCCCTCCAAAGGAAGATATCTCAACTCTGTCATCCCTGACCAAAACAATACAACCCATAGAAAGAAGTGCATTTTGTAGAGCTTGAAATTCTGTATCTTTTGATATAAAAACAATATTTTTTATAAGTCAGGACTTTGAGGAAGTCTCCAAAATAAAGCACTATTTCGTAGGTCAAAGATGTCTTTTTGCTGTTTTCCATTTTATAAAACAGTAACAAATAAGCGTATAAGAAACAGCGCGCAGCTATATACTATGAAAAATTCTGCGTCTTATAGACCTTGAACCGAATTTTTGCAAAATATTTCCAGGACATGCTTATTTTTAAAACAACGTATGAATAAAATCTAGACACAATTCTCTATCTTTCTAACATAAAAATGACATTTTCTGATCAAGTTTAACTTGAAAAAAATTTTTGCAAAGTGGCGTCGTTTTCCCGTCCAACCCGTTACATGATACAAAAGAATGACTAGTTTTAGCTATTATATAGTCGAAATTTCAGTACTAGAGATGTGTATAGCTGAGAAAATAGAGCCCGTATCCGATGATTAGTAGCTCGACTGAGCTCAACTCTAGGAATCCGAATCTCTTAAATGAAAATTAATCCGAGTTGATGCAAGATTGATGCAAGATCGAGTTACTACACAATACTTGTAGAAAACTCCAAGTAAAAAATTCTGTAAAACTATTTGATTGTGGAAACTTCGCTCCTTTAATTGAGCGGATCATTTAATATTAGCACTTCATATTAAATCACCTTTTCATGTTTATTCGCATGTGCGAGAAGATTAACATCAAGGACTTCGCATTTTTTTTGTAAACAGCAGAATGGTTTCGTTTCTCAAACTTAAGTTTTATTCCTCATGGGTAAATAATCCCACCGGATCTTTTTTTCTCTATTTATAGCATTATAACGCTATAAAACATGCTTTTTCTTAAATTACGGTATTACAACGCTATAGATTTATCTCATTACAACGCAATTAGATTTGTCTGCCGCCTTATAATACGTTAGATTCTAATGTATTATAACGCGTTTAAGCTTTCTACTTCAATAATACTATAATGCGTTAATGATACATGCGGTAATAATACTATAATAATATAATGCGTTAGAAATTAATGCGTTATAATACCTTAGATGTTTATCTAATTATAATGCCATAAATTTGGAAAAATCTTTTATAGCGTTATAACTCATTAGATATTGCATATCGTATTGTAACGAGTTAATATCTAATAGATTACAATGTATTATTCTTTTCTATCTCATTGCAATGAGATAAGAAAATGGAACTCGGTGTAACACGATAGGTATTAATGCGTTACAACGAGTTAGACAATATCCAAAACGAAAATACATGGTTTTCTCGTAAAGGACACATTTGCATAAAATTCTGAGACTGCCAATCAATTCCTCTCGAAAACTTGGTTAGGGAAAAATTACTCCAACTATATCAGACATATACGTTACTGACTTGAGACTTAGGACATAAAGTCCCATAGCACACTTATTACCACTGTGACGTATAGCGTTACAGCGCCTGAACAGTTAACGCATTGTAATGCAATAAATTTATGTCGCTGAAACGTGTGAAGAACTTCTATAGCCTTACAATGAGTTAGAACATGCATAATGCGTTGAAATGCGTTACAGATTAATGCGTTATAATGTGAAAGGAATTTAGTAACACCTTGTAACTATTAACGAGTTAGTCGAAATAGCGTTGTAAACATTATAAAAATATGAGAAAATCATTGACAAAAATGCATTATAACACTATAATTTCAATTTTTTGGCACGTAACGCGTTACGCTAATGCGTTACAATGCATTAAAGACATGTTTTTTCTGAATTTATCGGATTATAACACAATAGAAAAGCTAACACATTACAAGGCATTACGATATGCCTAACGAATTATAATGCAATAAATACAAAAAAAGATCCTGTGGGATGTGTCATACACCATAAACTTTTGAGCGATTTATAGTAACTAAACGCCGTTTGTAAAACTGCAAAAAATGGCTTTCCTAGTGCATCAATGGTAACACACGAATGTTTATTTTCCTCAAAACAGTGATACTGCTCATTGTTATTGACGGCACATTGGACGCCACTGTTCTTCTTTCTTCACAATTGAGCAATGATTCCGATCAAAATCTGCAACAATTTTACACATGTACTCGATTTATGAACAACATTGCATTAAACACATTGATTTGAATGCTTTAGTCTTCGACTTAAATAGTATAACATTAATGTGAACACAATCTTACGCATATGTTCTGCAGAACATCTAGATTACAACTAAACGCCTTATAAGTTCGGTCGCGTAATTCTGCTATCAACGTAAAATTTTATTATATGTTTTTCAATGTTTTGCATAGGTTAGATATTCCAAAAAGACGAACATTCAGAGCTTAAGCTCTGAATGTTTTTTAAAAAAGTGAGTCGTTCTTGCACTCTCTAGTATCTACGTTCAAGAATATTTCGAGAAAATTCACTTAGACCTCCAAGAATAGTTGGATATCTTCGGTATTTCTTCTCAATAAAATATCCTGAAAAGTGTGGGAACGACTCACTTTGTTAAACGAGATTTTATCTACTAATGAAGACATCAGAAAACTTTGCTTTAGACCATAAATTATCGTAATACAACATTCATGTTTAATATCAACAATCATCCAACGGTTAAACTTAACTTTATTCAAATCATAACAATAAATGTTTAATATAAGACAATAAGTAAGCCAAATTTTATAAATCGTTAGTGACGAAAAAACGTTGAAGTAGAATATATTCTATCTGTATGAGACTCATACAGCTGTGATTTAACATTAACTTTTCGTTTATTCATTGTTAGATATTCCATAAGTAAGTAGATTTGCATATAAAGTTCTTCTTTCAATAACTAAAAGTCCGGCCAGTTTAAAATGTTTTTTGTGTTAATCAGTCTGTACATAGACACTGATTATTATTTTCAAATATTTATCGACTTATAAACATTTTTGTTCTACGTTTTATTATAGTTCATTACTAAAACTTGCAAACATCACCAAATCAAGGGGTAAAAAGGACGTTCCAGAACGGGTACAAAATTTCTGGAATGCCACTCTAGAAAGGTGAACTGCCATTCTTGAATAAAAGAAATTTTTTCGGTTTTGGTCTAAATCTTGGGCTATATAAGCTCGGCTTCTAAATAGTGAAATGGCATTTCGGAATGGGTAACATTTGCCTTGTAGTGCTTTTTCCTCTTTGCACCAAACCCGTTGGACTCTTGTACAAGAACGTGTACTTCACGCAGCTAGTCAATGACAAAGAAAGATAAAATTATTCTTATCAATTTTTGCTCGTTTATTCGTGTGTATAGTCGACATTTAACGCTATCGATGCATCACTTGATGAGCAAACGTTAGATTATCAGTATCTATACAAAAAAATTCACTATATCTAATTCACTCACATCACTATGGTTTGACCATCTATTTATTTGTCTTTTTATTCCGTAACTGTATTTTATATCGTGTTTTGTAAAAATAGGACTTTCCTTCATCAGAAGGAAAAACGAACTTTTAAATTTGAAGAAACTTTTGGGGCAAAACGGCTGCTTTTGCATTTTCTGCTGCCAACTCGGCTCATACCCGTATCCTATCCGACCCGAAGGTTGGGTACGGGTACGAAGTTATCGGATACGGATTCTGTCTTTTTTTAATTTACCCGAAAACCGAAAGGTTTTAGTGGAAAACCCACAAAATTTCAGTGGAAAAATACAGGGGTTTACCTAAAATACATGAAGGTTTGAAAAGAATTACTTGAGAGCGTGATGATAATTTGACATCTTCAGCCGAAAAACAGAAGTTTTTAGCTGGAAAACAAAAAGGAGAAAAGTTTTAGGCATAAATCGGGTACGGGTACTCGGGCAATCGGGGTAAGTTCTCAGGCCGAGCCGGGTACGGATGGAAAAAAAAATACGGGTACGAAAATGGTACCCGTGCACATCTCTATTCTAAAAGGATGTACGACGAAAATCGAGTTTTCTCGTTTTTGTATTTATAACTTTTGAACCTTTTTCCAAACGTCAGCTATTTTTTATATGTTTGAATAAGGATATTTCTTATTTAAATACCAAGTCTGCACTATGTTCATTACGCTATGGGTATATCTGGGAAATTTTTTTTCACATTTTGTCCGCCAGAACAATGCTGACAAACTTTTTGCATTCTTTTCATTTGATTATTTGTTTGACGAAGGTCATCGTGTTTTACACCTTTAACAATCTCTCACTTTTCGTGAATAAATTTTTCTCCTTCTTCTTCACTTTTTCTACTATGATATTAATATTGAATATTGTATTCAAGCAAAATATTAATCGACATGGAGAATTTTTTGACAGAATTCTGCTGTATTTTAATGCATTAGAATTTATAACAT